CCGCCGCCAAAATGGCGTCCTTAGTGTCACACTCGAGGGACTTTGGACGTTCCTCAGTGGTCCGGAACAGGTGTCGCTTTCTGCTCTTATTCACTACACGCCGGTACATGTCTTTCCAAACGGGAAAGGTGTGTGCCTCAGGTTTGAATTCAAAGCGAATTCTCTTCTCTTGCAAAACACGGAAAACTGATTTCCCAGTCCAGTCAAACTTCTGTTTCGCGTTTGAGCGTTTCTTCCAATTACCCTTAAATGTCCTACTCTTCGCTTTTGAGTCAGTGACTACCATGGTAAACTGGTCTTCTAACCTAGATGATTCCACGGGACAGGATTTACGTGTTGGGAGAAACGACCTGCTTCTAGGCTTTAAATGATGCCGGACTAATTTCGTGCCATCTTTGGAGAATTCCCAATAGTCTTTACTCTTTGGGGATTGAGTAGCTGTTGCGGCTAAGCAAGACAGTGCGAAACCTGTGAGAATACATGGGCTTGCCTTTGGGCTCTTTTCCTTCTTTTCCTTTTTGCTCTTTTTGTCCTTCTTGGATTTCTTGTCCTTGGACCTTCTAGCTGCAGGGGATGGGCTGCGTCTGCGTGGGGCCGGTGTAGCCGTTTCACCGTGTTTGAATGGGCATTTGCCACCCCTTTTGCAATTGCCTTTTGCAAAGAACCTACATGGTTTCTCAGATTTCCTACCTCTACTTGCGCTTCTTGATGAGTTTCTTGTCCTGCTACGGGAGGACGACCTCGAAGAACTTCTTGATCGGCTTGACCTGAAAGAGGAGCGACCACTAGAACTAGCACTACGCAAACGCGACGACAACGGCTAAGGGAGCGGCGACGGGCACTAGAGTCATGCGAGTACTTGCATTTGCTCCCGTACTTGCATTTGCCACTTTTGGCGAACTCATAGCATTGGTTGCTGTTGTCACCTTTCGTGCTTCGTTTGCCATAACTAGGGCTTCGTGTACGTTTGTCATGTGGCGCTGGGTTTGCATATTTTGCTGAGTGCGATTGAGAGATTTTCTCTCTATTGGTCCTAAGCCTTTCCCTATCAAGATATCGTCTGACAGGGTTGATGAGAAATTCATAGCTTCTGTCGTTACTTCCTTCTGAAGCACGTTCATAGACATCAAGGTCAAATCTGAGTTTACGAGACTTCCTAACCTCTCTATAGAAAAGATCCTTAAGTGTAGCTGGGTCCGGTACATGGCTCATTCCAGTCAACACACTTTCCCATTTCCTAAGAAAGGATTTTAAGTCATCACTGTCAAGTGAGATCTTGAGGAGGTCTTCAGTACCATAAAGTGCACCTGCTTCTTCGCCAGTTTTGAAATGGACTTCAATGACTTCAAACATGAGCAAGACCTGACGACCACGAACAATCCTACTTTGCTGTGCCTCAGACTCCTTATAATTAAGGATTTGCTGAGCCAGCTCGCCCTTAGCGACCTTGGTCAAAGCGTCCGAAACTTGCCTGGGTCTGCCAGCTCGGAACAAAGCTTTGCCTTGTCTTCACGAACGGCGTAAACCTCAAGCACCCACGCGAACGCGGCATCTGGGTCATCGGACGCGGACCGAATCGCTTCGCGAACTGCGGCCCTCCAAGTGCGGTACCTGTCAGGACTGGGGAACTCGGGAAGGTCTATTTTGTCTGCCTCCTTTGCTTTGGGTTTATCCTGGTCTTTGCCTTTGGCGCCTTTAAACCCCTCTAGCAAGGCTCTCTTAATGATTTCGCCTAGATCTTGTTCTTGGGGAGTTCGTACCTGAGATGCCGGCCCGTCTTCTTTGCGGTCCACTTTGTTTTGTTTGGCATCCTGGTTAAAGGAGCCTTTGAACAAAGGGTCATCGCTGAAGTTGTATTGCGCCGACTTCTTCCGGTAGTCTGCCCAAGGATCTGCTGTACCAAACTTTCTTTGATCCGTTGAAGCTGTAGCTTGCTCTGTTGCAGCCGCCCCTGTTCCAGAAAACATTGAAGGAAATCCAGTGTTGCGTGTGTCTGCATTTGCATCCATTGCAGTTTTCACGGGAATTCCGCCAACATCTGGGGGCGAACCATCTATATACGGTTGCCGGAATCGAGCCTTCCGTACGTAGAGGTCCAAGTGAACGGGGTTGACCAACAGGAAAAGTATCAGCGTGCGCACCAGGTGGAGGTGGTTCAGGATGACGCGGCCCTGGTTTAGCGGGGCTTTAGACTTGTGCTTTGCGTACGGCCTCCTTGCGCTCTGCCTCTTAGCGCGCTGCCTCCTTGCATTCTGCTTCCTCATTCGCATTGGATAACGCCTGCACAGCCTGTCTGAGCTCATCCATCTCACGTTTCAACATTGCATTGTCCTTCCTGAGTTCAGTAATTGTTTGCTGCTGATACTCATTGTCAAAATCGTTCTGTTTCTTGGCTGCTTCCATTTCGCTCAAAAGCGACTTGATCTTGGCTTGTGCAATTGCCAATGAATTTGTCAGTTCTTCGCGCTTGATTTCTAGATCTATAACTTTACTGGCATCTTCGGCTGCTGTAGATCTGGCTTGCTCCGTTGCCTCTGCCGCTGCCTTAAATCTAGTTTCGTTTTGCTCAACATACTGGCGATGTTCTGACTTCAACTTTTCTACATATACATTGCCATCATTGCAACTTGCTGCTAAGGCATCCCTCTCTTGTACAGCCTTTTCGTGAGCCATAGTTGCCTGAGCTAACCGTTGTTGAAAATGCTCCCGCTGCTCTTCCAATGTACCTTGCAACCGTTTGATCGCAACATTTTGCACGGCTAACTCCGCCGCAACTTTTGTTGCTGCGATGGATTCGGAAGCTTCTCTTTCATATAGCTGTCTAAAACGCAATGCTTCGAGTTCTGCTTCCATCCTACTTGCTCACTGAGTTGAAACTCATGTTGCTGTAGTTCACGTCGTAGTTCTTCATCGACTGTTGTAGTGTTAACATTGACAACGGTGGACCGGGTCATTGCCAACATGTTGTTTACAGTTGGTGCACCCGTTACGGTGGCTGACGGCATACCTGCTAGGGTAGCTTGAGTAGCTTCTTGAAGAGAAACACTGCCACCACTGTCTAGCATTTGTTGGTATACCTCCGAAGCTACCCTTGGATCCATTGCGGCCACCTGAGCAACTGCTTGCTCATGTCGTTGGACTGCATCCAAACTGATGGGTATACTTGGAACAATGTCAAAACCACTTCCGTAGGCGTTCGGTGCGACGTCGTCGTCCATCGGGTCCATAGCTCTACTCTAGTTAGCCTACGGCTGATAACCTGTATTTTACAGGATCAGCCTAGATTTCCTAACTATCCTAGCTAACCCTATCTAGCCGTTAAGCGTCTCTTTTACTCTACCTTGAGAGTCCACGCTACGGGGTCCATGGGGATGAGGTGAATTTCAACAATAACGAACCTTGAAGACTTGAAAAACCACCCACTGAGGCGACTACAAAACCAAAAAACATCGACTGAGACGAACAAGAAAAAGATCGAAAAACAAAAACAAAACAACAATAACAACTGACAGCAAGAAAAGAAACATGTACTGTAATATCTGAAGAAATATAAAAGCAACACCTGTTGACTGAGCACAAAAACAACAATCAAAAAACGAAAACAACTGACTGAGAACAAGAAAACAAAAAACACTGACTGAGAGCAAGAAAAAATCACCGTATCAAAAAATGTGAACCAAGAAGAAAGACGTAGAAACATTAAGGAAACAACAAACCTTGGACTTACTGCGACAGAAGAACAAATCAACAGAAACGAGGGGGTTCCCAATAGTGCACCTCTCGAGCTTTGTAAGAGCAAGACAAGGCTGCAAAAACCATTGCGACCGTGGCCACTGCAGAAAAATCGTCATGCCAAAGGTGGACCATCAAACAAGCACATCAAACCGGAAAAATTTAGCTCAATTCTCTAGCAAGCACACAGGATGTTAAAATGGTTTTCGCTCAAGGCGGCAGAGGGTAGAAACACAATTAAACACAAGTGGAAGCGAGCAGACAAAACGTTAAAACTCCTCGCGCAACCACATAGAGTCAGCGTCCCTCTTGAACTCTACTGGAGTTCCATGGTGTCTTCACGGGAATGCCGACCCAGGCAAAGGTTTTGACTCGTTAGTCGCAACTTCTATTCTATCCTCAACCATAAAGCACACACATGCACAACAACGTTCAAACGGAAAGTGTACCACACACCAGCACAATAATAGGATGGCAGAACGACTAGGCGCTGGTGGGAATGGCGCGGGGGTATATAGCTGTTCAATCATGCTCAGCAAAAGACCTCAACTTTTACGACATTTGCAACATGGAACACATCCACACGATCAAGTGCAAATACCCGTTGAAGTTTCATATACCTGTTTGGCTACTGACTCCAAGCAAGTTTGATGGAGATGGTGGAAAGTCCCCACCACCTGGATCCCCTTTTCATTTCCCCGACCATCATCACACCAATCCAAAGTAAGCCGCCATAGAAGTCAAGCGGCAAGCGTTTGCCTGCGTCCTACTCCTACTCTTTATTGCGACAACGGCTCCCACGCGAAACACTGCGTTGCAAAAGGACGCTGACGCGATTGCTCCTGCGTTGATCTCTTATGCTGGTACGCCATTGTGTCTACTGTGCCACGCATTTTGATCTAGCGTGGCAAGCTTCGAAGAAAGCACTCCTAGCAATGGAGAAGAAAAGACTGCTGCTGCTGCTGCTGTCGTTGGTGTTGCTGTCAAGTTGTTAAATGCTGGTCGTAGTTGTAATTAATTTTGTTACTGCAGAAATAGTTCTGTTTAACCGGCAAAACTTGCTAACTTTCCTCGACAATAGCCACAGCACTTTGCCGAAAACGTACTCTGAGTGCTTGCTCGACACAACAATTACTCTGGTTGCTCTGCAGCAGCACACTTGGCCTAAGAAATAGAAACTAGCAACGCGAAGTTCCTGGAACAAAGGTGGCTCGCCTAATTATCCAAACTCAACCGTGCGGCGCAGCTACGCAAGCGAGCTTCCGCTCCTGAAGCAACCACTTTGTAGCAGCCAGGAGGTCTTCTTGCTTTCGAGACACCACCGGCGCACTGCAGACCACGCACCTCAATGCAAAATTTAAATCGGATGCAGCTGTGTGGTCTACTTTGATACAGTTAGGACGGTAGGACCATGCACAAATTTGCGTCTTTATCTTTTACAAAGACATTGCGGAGCCGAAATGGGGGTGACATTCTTCCTGAGAGGGAAGGAGTTCAGAAGGCAGGATTTGCACACCGGGTGAGCTAGACCCTGCAACAAGAAAAAGAGGGTCTCTTCGTGTCATCTGGCCTGCCCACTTGGTGTAAACAGTGCTCTAGACCATGAGCATCGTGCGACCAACTGCTCCACAGCAGCACCACCGTTCATTGTGTTCGTGGCGCATGCCCACAGTACCTTTCACTTTCAGCATTCTAGTTCTTGCGAAACACCTGCATGATATCCGTCGTTCCAATTTGGGTCGCTGTCGCCATGGGTAGAAACTGGCCGTTGGCCGCTCTCAAAGCCGCGCGCTCTCTGGAATGTGGAACACCTATACAGTCCATGGGGCGCGCTTACGTCATTCTTGGAGAGGCCACATTTTGCCCAAGGCTCGGGTCAAGTTCACGTCGAGACATGGCATGAGGCATCTTGCGGACTGCCCTTACGCCGGGCGCATGAGCGACAATGGTGCCGCGCGTGCGCCTCTTGCCAATAGTGCCTTAGCTGTCGCTCTCCCACAGCTCCATGGCAGCCCAATGGATCAGAAGTCCGGATAGGCTTGACCTGAACCAAGTCAGCAGCCTGTGGAAGAAGACTACCTGGAGTACGCGGTTCAAGAATCACTCATGCCCACCAGCTTCACTTGCATTCAAGCATGTCAATCAAAGCTGGAATATGATCTCATGTCCTATACATTGGGTCTATCCTATTACCTGTAACAGTGGATGGTGATGGTTAGTAAAGGCCTTGTTCAAAAATAGTAATAATTGTTTACTGACTGTTGCAGGTAATAGGACAGACCCAACCGATACACATCTTGGGATAATCACACGCATTTGATACTGTGCTAAAATCACATCATTTTTAAAAGTGCAGGCAACATACATGCGCTATACACATCCAACATGAAAACATGTGTTTCCAACATGTTTTGCTATTCAGGCTGAATAGAACAACCTCACCGGAAACGTGTCGGAATGTCACCCTGCTAAAGAAAACACCACCCCAGAAAATGCCCTGCATCGAATGTAGCTGCCATGCATCTTGCGACCCTGCTGAATCTTTGAGTATATACACAGTCTTTCAAGGGTCGAATGGGGCACACCCTGTTTAGGTGGTCAACCCAGGTCACTTTCAAAGGTGCTGCGAGCTTGATCGCCAAGTTCCAGACAAGCATTCCATCAAGCCCAGCAGGCTGTCAGCTTCTACACCCGAGAAGGAGCCTCCAAGCCTGCAGCTGGAATGTTCCATAGAAAACCCCCAGTGCACGCATAGACAGATAGATAGATAGGTAGATAGATAGATCGATGGATCGATAGGTCCATAGATCGATAGATCGATAGATCAATAGATGGATAGATGGAAAGATGGGTGGGTAGAGGGATAGAGGGGTAAATAGGGATAGATGGATAAATGGGTGGATGGATGGATGGACCTCAGGATGGGCCTAAATGGTGAATCTCACTCTGAAGGTCAATACCCACATTCAGCCCGACTTAGTGCGCACACACTCAATAAAATTGCGCACTGACTCGATTGCGGTTTGCCACACGCCAGCCTAAGTGACCATATTCCTAAGAGTACAGGTGCAAAAAACGAAAGGAAAAGGAGTGGAGCCAACCACATCAGTCTGTATCTTCCAGGAGACCTCCAAAACCATGAACTCGAAAATCTCGAAAAGCGAGAGGCGACGTTCACTCACAACTACGGAGTGCATTAGCCCTTTATAAGAAATGAACACCACAACCAAGCAGGTACGTCCAGAAGGCGTCCCTTCCGGATATCAGCCACACTTGCAGCCCCCTTCGTTGGTTCTGCTGAACAATCTAAGGATTCTCTGCGGTTCTAAGGGCTTCACACACTGGGAAATGAGTTGGGAGTGTGGAGCGATAGGGTGATGGCAAAGCCCAGAACCTCCTAAGTAGGGTCCTTGAAGCTCGGAAAACACAGGCAAAGTTGAGTTAGCGACACCGTCGATCAGGTCAAAAAGAACCGAATCCAAAAGAAGATCTTGTTCTAGCAATAAGCATACCCCAGAAGTTTGAAAGTGATCGCTCAGCAGGTACGTAGTCCTGGCGTCCCAGGACAATATCACAGTGCGACAGATGCGTCTTTGTTGGCTGGAGATATCTGAAGCACACTCCAGCGACCTGCTCTCAAAATTTTCAATTCCGAAAGTGCGACATCCGCACGTGAGAGCGGTTTACCCACACACAGGGCCCTCCCTACGCAGGGCTGAGACTTCCCTGCTCTCAAATTTTCAATTCCGAAAGTTCAACATCCGTATGTGAGACTGAGGGCGGTTTGCACATACTTATAGATATGCATACTGAACTGAAAGCGGTGCCACACGCCAGCCTAAGTGAAAAACCTAAGAAACCAGGACAGGTAAAGTGTGGGGTTCCAAACCTCTCAAAGCCTACATGGCCTCCAACTCCAAGTCGACACATCCAAAGCGACAATGCACATCTGCCGATGAAGAACCGATGCAAAGGCTGGTCATCTTGTTCTAGTTACAACGGGGCCCAAAAGGAAATGAGAAGTCATCACGGAGCAGGTACAAGTGGCGAAATGCCATAGCCATAGCTTCGATGGACTGGATAAGCAAATCGGCTCCAGTCCCCCTGCTCTAAACAAGGCAATCCTGTTCACAATTCAAAAGAATCCCTGTGACTACAAGGGGCACGCACACACACACGCCTCCCCAAGGGGAGGCATATTTTCTCACTGAGCACCAGGCCAGGAAGGGTAAGTGAAACTAAGTAAACTGGCGAAGTTCCCGGAAGGTTTGGTAGGCTGTCAATGGAAGTCTCAGTTGGCACATGGCATCGTCATGGAGGCGGGCAGCGACCGTGTGTAGAGGTCGGTATGGGAAAGGAGTGGATTCCCGGGGGTACTCGTGCGGAAGTCCCAGTACACGAAGGCGACGAGAGTTCACATAGTACAGAACAAGATCTTCCAGTGTGCAGGTGTGTGGGACTTCCCAGACCCCGTAGAGGGAACTGCCATCCAGAAAGCAGTACGTTGTTGCCCTAGACGGGAGTAGATCACATCCTTGAGATCATCAACGGTGTACTCCTTGGTTTCAATCTGGGCCGTGTTGAGGGTCACAGTGATGTAGTTTAAAGGCTGATAGACCAGGAGACTGATGTCCAGCTCGACACGAACAGTGGAGAGGTGAGGGACTTGATCCAGGGTTTCAAAAGGTTGTCGTAACTCTCTCCAATCAGTTGGTATAAGTTGAGCCAAAGGTTCGGGAACACGAAGTCCAGGTGAAGAGATCATCGCAGGAATGGAGCAACAAAGCGTGTGGAGCGTTAAAATGGCTGCGGAGAAAATGCGCAACGAGGAACGGTGAGGAAAGAATGAAGTGAGACAATACAGAGGTCAAAGCAGGGAAGCCCTTACGGCCTTCAACCGAACGTGAGGAATCATGTGTGGTCCTCAGTGTTTGAGTTTGAGCGATATGGAGGGAGTAATGTAGTCGGCGGGGATGTCGATGAGGAGGTCAGGGACACAGACGCAGGTCTTTTCCGTTTCCGAGAGGGAGCGGGGGGGCAGGGAGGAGCGGAAGAAACGAGAGAACCGGACGGAGGGAGAAGGGGCACCAGGAGGGGCTGCGTCAGCCTGTTGAAGAAGAGTGGTCAACAAGCGCAGGGCGGCAATCATGACTCTGAGGTGTGTCGCAACGACGGACATGAGGTCAAGAGGCACAGGTAAGGGCATGGTGTCAACAACGAGGTGTGGCACCCTAGGTTTGAGCCCAAAGGACTGGGGAAAGTGGAACGAGGGGAGTACTAAAACTCGGCATGTCCGGAACTGTGGAAATCGAAAAAAATAATACTGTGTGAGTAACTGGATGGCGGCATCGTCAGTAAAAGTGAGAAAGCGGCAGTGAGAGTGGAGTAGGGCTCGCGGTAGGTGGAATCGTTGTTAAAGTTGATGTAGAAGAGGAAGAAGTTGGCGCATCGTGAAGCCCTTGTCGATGTACTGCTGGGTAAGATCCACAAGCTGGGGAAGGATGAGATCACGTGGTCGTGTCAACCGACACATCAAGATCCCCCGAGTGAAGAACCCGGCGAGAGCCATGTCGGGTGAACCAGCTGTGCGACTACTCCGGATCAAAGTCAAGTGGGGTGGTGAGGGTTCTCTGAGAAGTGGAAATGCAGAAACCCAGCAGAACTTCGTCTGATACAAACTCCATTTCCAAAGGTCTTCCGTAGAAGAATGGTTGGGAGATCGCCTGGAATGAGTCTGTGTGAAGCATGTGAGTAGCGCCGAGGAAGAAGACGTTGTCCGCTTAGCGGGCACGGAGGGCCAAGCCCGTGGCATATCTCCAGGAGGACGTTGGGAAGGAACGGAGAAAGCAGTATTCCTGAAATAGGGCCACAGCGCTGCACAGAGCCGGGGCTAAGGGTGGGATGCCACAGCCAGCCACTCCGACGTCGCGGAGAGATGGTCCATCCCTGCCATCACCACCTGGCTCTCCACTTTTGACGAAGCCAGTCAGGAATCTGCCAAGGAGATTGATCGTCTTCTCCAAACCAGCAAATGCACTGTATAGCAACTTCGCGAAGCGGGCACCCTGATATGGACTTCCCTTGAACAAACTCAACAAGCGCCACCTGAAGACTCGCCAGAATCTGGTCAGTGTGGGAGCCCGCGCTGGCCTGTTGACTGATTCGCCACACCCACCAACATGCAACAGCTCTTTCGGCTACACCAAGCCCTTTCCACCCTCATACACCGTGCTACATACATTGAACGGGTCGATGCCATCTTTGCCACCGGCCTCCTACACCTTAATCTCATGTTCACCTATACCCTTCCAACACCCACCGTTCTGAACAATGGCGAAAGCGCTTTCCCCAGCTCCAAATATTACCACATACCTACCGCTACCACAACTTCCTTTCCTCCAATTCCGTTTACGTCAAACTCTACTTCAACATCCAACCACCACATCGCTGCTACCATCAACAAGGCCCCTTCTACATTGGCTCCACCGCCATAGACATTCCCCGCCGTGAGCACAATCGATCGGCTAAGCTCAAGCAACTCCAGCAAAACATCCCCATCTCATCAGCAGAACTCTCCCTTCGCTACTGGCACACCCACAACACCATCGATCAATACACCACCATCCAAATTTCCTCTCACGACACCTACGACCAGGCCTGGATCCACGAACGCAACCACATCTCCAATTGGATGGCACCCTTGAATTGGCCTTTCATTTCCCACCCCCTCAAACTCAACACCGAGCACACTTTTTCTCACGCCTTGCCACACACAAACGTCTCTTCCACCGTCTTCGGCGACGTCAACAAACCATACACGAGCCACACCTTTTCACCTCTACCAAACACCATGCCCTTGCCCGCAACCTGACCAAGCACACAGCTGGCTCCTTTGAAGCAGCAAAACAACTCCGCAGCGGCAGACACACAGGCCTTGAGCTCTACTCCATTCAACGCATGGCAGCCAACCTCGAAGAACCAGGGCGCACACGAGCTCTGCAGATTATCCACAAGGCCATGGATTGCCGCAACCTCACACCACCCCGCGCCAACATACCCCTCACAATTCCCTTCCTAGCACACGACAGCTTCACCAAGGACACACAGCAATGGTTATGTACCCTCATTCAACACCACAAGCAACTTGTCATCCCTCTCCACCTTCCCACACACCGCCTCCGTGAGGCCGCACACAAAACACTACGCGCTCAACTCCACAACCATCGAAAATGGGAAGACAGCCTCCTTACTCCACCCGATCCACTCGACCTTCCCTGCGCCTGCCAACATCTACGCACACTGTTGGCCGATTCTGAGCGCCCGTCTACCAATGGCCACTACATTCTCACGCTGGACCAGCTTCTACTTCCTCCTCACCGTCGCATTTTCCTAACGCCAACATGAACAGCACTTTCTACCCTAGCTGAAAAAGGATGTAAACTCCTTGGTGAGGATCCCAGGTGAGTGTGGCAGGTTGAGGAACAGAGCTTTTGTGGTGGCAATGCAGTGGGAAAGGTGTGGGAAATTGGAAAGACTGGCGCTGGATGTGGAACTGGCTGGTGTTGCAAAGTGGGAGGGAAATGGATGGCACGGTGCATGTTGCGGTTGGTGGGTATGGATATGGCCAAGGGAATTGCACGCTGCTGAACGCTCAACTCGCTGTTGTCGTGGGCAGCTGCGCGAGCGGCGGCGGCAGCCCGAAGAATCGGCGCCAAGCAGAAAGTCACTGGATAACGGTGAAAGAAAGTGAAATGTGGGTGGCTGAAATCAATTAAGATTCATCGCAAACTGATTGAAGGTATTCGAAACAATTTGAAAAGGAAACGTGCAAGTCATCAGTCCAACATGTAACAGTGCATGGAAAGTTGGAAAAGTTCACTGCATGTCGCTCGAACCGTGAAAGCTCTGGAAAGAGACTCCGTAAACCCGGCGGTGTCAAATCTCCGTAAACTCGGCAGTGTTGTGGCAGGAAATTCATTGGGTGAAACAAAACTCATCAAACCATAAACCACGATGGCAGCACTTCGAATCCGTTACACGGACAGGATCACACTCTGCACCCAGTGGGACGACAGAGCGGCTCACACTAGACAATGGTTTTGCAGTTAACTCTATTCCACGTCAAAAAGAGCGATGGAACCGAAAGGCGGCTGAGTCAGGTGACCTGTAGGTGATTGAAAAACATGTTTGCGCACATCTGCAGAGATTCAGCGGCGACTCGCGAGCAGCGGAAAGCGGCGGAGGGAAAACCTGTTTTGGGGGATAGCGCGCAGAACCACCGTGAATCAAATCGAAAGTGGGAAAGCGTGATAAATAGTTTCAGTGGCAGACACACACACACACACGCGCGCCAGCTGCAAGGGACCTAGCCGTTCATAGCTGGCCCAACAATGCTGTTTAGTGGTGCGCGCTCAGAGTCAAGACTCAATTGGTTGTCTTCACAGTGGGGTCAGAGCCACTGCGCAAAAGCCTGACATCATTGCACCTGCAACCACACACAAAACGCCACGATTAAAGACTTCTCAGACAATACTTCCTGCCGTGCTCTTCACAGTGGAATCAGAGCCACTGCGCAAAATTCAGCGTGCATCACAGTCTCTCAAACTGGGTATTGAGGCCACCTGCTGTCAAGTCACTCCAGTCCGAATTTCTGCGACAAGCTTCACGAAATACTTCTCACGCGAAAGTCAGAGATGGTTTGCGTCACTGTCCAACGCCGGAAATACGCACCAATATCCTTCCATGGAGTGCATGGAGTCACTGAAGGGAACAAGGGATCACCAGTGTTAACAAGATACAAGTAGGCTCTAAGCAACAACTGATGGAACCAAGTTCTCATCCGACAAGCGACATCGCTCGTGACTCAATACATTTCCAATGACGCGCAAACAGTGCGGCCAGCGAAGCATGTCTGCAAAACGAATTGCGCGGAGACGCCGCTACACGCTGACTTCGGCAAGGCACACGCTGCTGCGCCGCTTTGTTGATTCCAAACACAAACAAAGTTCGTGCAAATCTTTCCTATACAGCATTTCTATATGAGAAAAAAGTACCACGAGGGCGCGCGTGTATATATATATATAGGAAAATGTTTCTGGTGTTGTTCCGAATCTCATATACATAACCGTCGCCCAACATATATGCGCGAACATGTTTAAACGAAGCGTTTTCCCCAGATAGCTGCAGCTATAAGGGCTCCAACTTCTCAATGGCGTGGCTCCGGATCGGCATTTTGGCTTTGGCGCTGCTGCTGCGCTGACACGGGCGCTGGATAGGCGTTTTGTTTTGCTGGCCCTAGCGCCGCGCTAGCGCTGCTGCAGGCACTGGCTCTGAATCGGCGTTTTGGTTTCGCAGGCGCTGCTGTGGCGCTGACGCTGGCACGGGTGCAGGCGCTGGCCCTGGATGGGCGTTTTGTTTTGCGGGCGCTGCTGCCGCGCTGGCGCTGTGGCGCTGGCGCTGGATCGGCGTTTTGTTTGTCCGGCGCCGGCGCCACAGGCCCTGGCTCTGGATCGGCTTGGGGCCAGGGGTGACATCAGGTCATGCCAGGGATGACATCACATCGCGCCGTGGATGGCATCAGGTGACACCAGGTCATGCCAGGGATGACATCATGCCCTGCCAAGGGTGACATCGCATCATGCCAAAAACGCCGTCACATTGTGGCAGGGATGACGTGGGCGACATCACGTCATGCCAGGGCGCGTCATGCTCAGAACGCCAGGGGTGACTTCACGCCACGCCAGGGACGACATCATGTCACGCCAGGGATGACATTGCTGTCATTTTGTGCGTGACACCGTGTTGCGTAGCAATGATCACCATGTTGCGTGGGCAGCTTTGGCTGGCCCTTGCCGATCTTGCAGTTTTACATCTGCGTTGGGCAAAACTCAGCTGATAAATGTTGCGCATATTGGTGGGCTGGTCTAATGTCTTGCGGCGTGTCCTTCAAACCTACACCTGCTATCTGGGGTCCACGCCGGTGTAATTAACATGGATCAGTGTACCGGTGTATCTCAAAGGTACGGAGTATGGACTGATGGATTCGTGTGCGGCTTGACATGTCAAACGCTGTTCGCAGTCGCAGTGAAACACTAGAAACTCAGAACACAGCCAAGACAGCCACTCCGTCATCGACTGCTTGCGCAGTTCGATTCAGAATTGTATGTTGAGTGGAAAGGACCACTTTGCAGGGTTTGCCTGCTTTATATATATATATGTTTATAAGTTTATATCTATATTTATAATGTATTGATGTAGTGAAGTCGGGCGACCCAGCTGCAGGAAGTGCAACAAATCAGCCATTTGTAAGGATGAGAGTTTAGTCTTCGATTCTGGGGCGCCACACGTTCCAATACTGCCGCCTGGTCGAAGCCCTGATGGGAGAAGCAAACTGGCACAAGAAAGATTTAATTCGAAGGTGAGGCTCCTTCTTTTTCATGTATTCCTGAAACAGGCCCTAGACCTTCTTACGGTCGCAATTAAGGCTGCGTTTGATCGAGGTTGCTTGCCGGCGTGGGCGGCTATAATTTCATGGCCCAGCGCGTTCATGCCTCGAGATTCCGTGTCGAAGGGCTCTTGTGAGAGGTCTGGTTCTCAACTGCCGCATTTTCGGACTTGGTGGTCGCTTGTCGTGGCAGGCACAAGGGAATCCTGAAGCTTTTGTGGTGTGAAGTCGACTTTTGACGGCAAATCTTGATTGGCTATCCTCGAAGTGCAGATTTCGCGCCAGTCACAGCACTTTGTGGTCCTCGAAGTACAGATTTCGTGGCAGCCGCAGCACTTTGTGAACCTCGAAGTGTGGATTTCGTCGCAGGCGCAGCGCTTTGCGAACCTCGAAGTGCAATTTTGATGGCAGGCTCAGCGCTTTGTGAACCTCAAAGCGCAGGTTTCGTGGCAGGCACAGCACTTTGTGGACCAGTGCGATAGGCTCTCATGTGTGTGCTCTCACGTGTCTGTGTGTGTGCTCTTACACTCGCTAATATGAACTGCAAAGATCCGCAGAGCTATGACACCCGCAGCCTCAGCGCCGGCCATGCGCGCGGAAATGATTGCGCGCTGCTTTTGTACTACTACTGAACACTGTTTGGGGTCTCTTGCCTGGATATATATATTTCTTGTCTTCCGCGTCCATTTTGGGTTCGGCAATCTTCCAACCGCGGTCAGCGAGCACAGCGCCGAAAGGCGTGAAAGTCAGAAAATCTTCCAACCCAAAGCGGGTGTAAGAGTTGAGACATTCCAACAAAGAGCGGTTCACCAGCACCTGCCAAATTTAGAATATGAAATCCGCAAGTCTTGGCCTAGGCCTAGCGGCAACTTTGGGCTGCTTCGCGTGGATTGTTTTCTCCTCATTGTTGCGCCTGTAATGCGTTGTCACAAAAAAGGTGTCGGTGGCACCAAAGCGTTGGCCCATTGCGGCGACGCCGTATGGTGTAGCTTATCGCTTACGGTGCTTTGTAAAATCGAGCTTTAAAAAATTGTGTGCTCCCGCCTGCATTTCGAGCCGTTTTTGTCCTGGAGCGATTGCAAAAACGGCAAGACAAGAAATGTAGCAAAATCCTTGAGCTTGGTGGAGGAGAGGCCTTCTCTGCGATGTCCAAAAAGTCGTCAAAAAGGCAGGCAAATTGGACAAAAAGTTTGGGAACTGGAAAGGAGCTGGATTTGGGCCTTACAGGGACAGCTTTGAAGCCTTTTTTCGGTTTGCGCCAAGGCTTTCAATCTAAAAAAACATGTCGCAGCATTGCAAAAACTGCGTAAATATCGACGTTTTTTGGGCCGTGGTGCGCGATATGCTGAAAAAATCGCGCTTTTCGAGAAAACCTCGTAAATACACTCGATAGCTCAAAACCATCGGTATTTACATGGTTTCCTGGCGTAAAAGCACCAAAAACTACGCAAATAGCGTGGCTTTGGGACACTTTTGAAGCCTCAAGCGGCAAAAAACATTGATATTTACAGGGCTTTCCATTGGCTTTCCATCTTTTTTGTCATTGAAAGACCTCTCCACCACCAGCCTGAAGGATTTTTTGCGCGCGCTTCAAACGTGTTTGATACAAGGTTTTGGGGGGCGCGCGCGCGACGCATGCGAAAGGAACAACAACCATAATAACCAAGCAAGAAATACAAAGGCAACGGACAGCAGCGAAAAAGAAAAAGCGAAAAATCAATCAGAAACTGAACACGATAGCGAACACGCGCCCAACCGGCATCGCCGGTCTGCAAAGCTCTACAATCCACAAGACGAGTAGATCTCAATGGCTTGGTTGGACCTCGGCAACAGTCTACAGACTGTACAAAACTTTCTACGCGTAGGATGCTGCTGGTTTCCTCGCAGTGTTCTCGACACATGCCTGCACAAAATGTTCATTCAACCACAAACTTATCCCCATCAGAGCTGCTTGCCGAAGAGAGGCCAATAAGTTCTAAAGAAGCACAAAGCTCCTGAATGGCCGGTATAGTCAGTCACCCACCTGATCCCTCCAAGAACATCCCTCGCTCATAGCCTTGCTCCAGGTATTGCGAGAACTGATCCACCTGCGGATTGGTCACAAGAAATCTCCAATTTGCTCACCAACTGTTCTAAAGGAAGCATAGCATTGGACAAGTCAATGCGATGCAAAGGAGGTGAAACAGGCTGTCGGGCATTCAAGCTATTGTGGCGGAGCAATTAAACGCGCTTTGCTCAAATTTTCTTGAACTCCAATGCGCTCTCTTGTGGCACTTGCATTGGCATAGCAGCTTGCGTTCGCAAAAACGGAACACCTAAAAGTGGCAACCACTCAAGCAAACTCTATTTTGCAGTACCTGCATGTATGGAAACAAGCTCCCAATCTGATGTAATCTTGTTGACTTGCGTGGCCTTTCTAGCAAAACACCCACAGTGAAGCTCCCGCGCCATTGAACTCATGCCCAACGCACTACCCTTGAGAATACATCATCAGGGTGGATATCAGATATCTCAAACCGTCTTCCCGGAATCACACAGCGATAACCGTTCAAGCCACGCCTTATCTGATGCTTGCTGCAGCTGGTCAACAGCTGCTTTGAGCTGTCCCTGTCAAATGTTCAACATTCAGCTTTAGGTATTTGGAGGGTCTACACATTGTCCTTGTCACACAGGCTTTGGTTTAAGACCGGTCAAGCCAACAGGGCTGCCGTTTCTCGGCCCGTTTTACATATTGCATATGACAAGGGATTGATCCAATCCTCCAGCTGCTTGTACTGGGACTGTACAAGTCGTAGCCTGAGCACCTGGGCAAAGCAGGATTTGGTCGATGGACTGTTGTGCATCTTAACACGCAGCAGCAACAACGAACGAGCGACCAATATCCCAGCCTGTGGGCACGTATTTGGTTCAAAGTTTCAAGCAATGACCTGGTTCTGGTTCCCGGCACACCTTGATTGAAAACTTTGGCCTCGTCCTTCCTGGACACTCTATGTTCACATCAAATGTGCCTGAACTACAACAAGCAGGGCCAATGAAAACAACCATTGGCATTGGTGACCCTGCTTCGGGCCTCCGAAGCAATCTCCTGGATCCGCTGGCTCTGCGAATCACTGGCAAGGCGGGACTTGCGGAACCGGTCTTCATGGGTGAATGTTCTCCAAAATTGGTGTTCTTGTTGTCCTTGTGTCGGAACGTCTTTTACGTGGCAAAGTTTTACACTACAAAGAGACAAGAAATGGAAGCAACCAGCGAGCGTCTGTTGCAGCAACCAACCAAAGAACTACCAAGGAAAGGATTATATAACGATTGGTTTTTTGAACCCGACTCTTTAGGCTATCGGCTATTGCTTCTGTCCGATCTTCAGTTTCAGCTCGGAAAACAATGAAACACATACCTGGATATTACTCTGCTAGTCAGAGCTGCTGAACGCGTGGTCTCTTGAATTGAAGAATTTCATGGCCGCGAGTCAAGGGGCCCACAATACCCACAGGTCCTTGTCCTCCAATTAGAATCTTTTTGACAAAATGTCTGGTTACGCGGTCTCGTTCGTCGGACCTTTTTGTGAGCCTTGAGCGAAAGTTTGTGCGCGTCAACCTTGTGCGGGGTCGCTTGGCTTTACCCTGCAGACAGGTTACACTTCTCGATTTGCGCGTTCAAAAAAAAAGGTGTCATGCGTTCTTTCGACCACACTCCCCCTGGCTTCTATGAAGCCATGATCGCAAAAAATTGCTTATCATCCACTGCTACAAAAGCCACCCTCAGGCGTTCACCGCCTGATAGCTACCGTCTGAGCTGTCCTCATCTCGCAGCTGCGATGTCATTCCGAAAGGTTCAGGTTCAGTCCTCCCAGCCCGACTCAAAGGTAGCTGGGATGAAATTCGCACCCAAACTGGTACTTGATTTGGGTCAGGAGAAGCCTGCTCAAGTCAGGCAGATCAGGTCTCCTGTACTCTTCTGGTCAAGGCGGTGCCAGATTGTTACTTCAGTCGCTCGCCATGTCGTCCACCAATCGCCGCCAGCTAGGGAAATGCGCCAGTCTGCCGCTCTTCATCACTGAAAGACCTCGTGATCCCTGAGACCAGTAAGTGGAAGGCTCATAGTCCTGGTCGTTGTCCAGGTGCCCAGAACTCCTTGCTGACTCGAAGTTCCCCTCGTTCTCGCTGGCCTCGTAGTCGATCTTCATGGCCCAGCCGCAAACTCCGGCCCATCTCATCCTGCCCCCGAGCCAGGGGCCGTCGAACCCCCACTCGATGAACTTCCAATGGAGGTCGTCGTCGGGCTTCTCCTCACATAGCGTACGTCGCGAAGGACTTCTCGCCCGTTGACGGCTCTGCGCCGGGCTGTTCCGCAATGCCCGGCGTTTGGCGGCGGCCCAGATGTCAGCGAGCTGCTCATAGACGGGAGGTTCGGTCTCCCTGCCCCTTCGTGGTTGAGGAACTCGAAGTCGAGATAAGTGTTCCTGTTCCGGACGCTGTGAGCCCACCCAGGTGTCACTCACTGGAGGTTCCGTGATCGTCCTCCAGTCATCGTTACGGATCACCCGACCAAATCACAGCTCTGCGCCTGGCCACTAGGTGTCTGTCGGTGGACTGGGTGGAAAGGTCTCACCCGTGGCTTGACATGATGCCTTGCCCACCAACCATCGCCCAATCCCGCCCTCGAGGCGGTAACGTGAAAGGCGGCTTGGTCTCTTCCCACCACACGAAATCACGGGAGTTGTCAGGGCTAGGTTCGAAAACAGGCTCATGCTCAGAGCCGTCACTTGACTTGACCCTCACCTGGTCTTGATCAATGTCCACACGGTGGATCTCCATACTCTGTTCTTGAAGGCCCTGTGTCTTCTTCAAATCACCGGACTTTGGACCGTAAGCTCTCAGTTGCCGCCTCCACCACTGGCTTCACGCCCATCGCCACAAGGAAGTGCTGCCATCGAGCTGCCACTCCAACGGGCTTGGTGAGGAAGTCCGCTACCAAGTGTGTGTGTGTGTGTCTGTGCAGGGATGTGTACCACACTCCACGCCTCCAAAATGCGAAGCTGAGCTTGATTGTCACCCCCAAGGCGACATTCACTGACCACCTCATTCTCGTGGCCCTCAAAGACATTGATTGACCAGCGCCGCCAGACCATCCGCACCTGGTCCAACGTCGGCTCAGGTTCCGGTTCTTCATCAAACATTCGCGGAATTGGGCCCGTAGCTGGCGTTATAGTTGTCTCTGCATGGCAGCTCCTTGATGTATGCCTAGAGTCCATCGTCCTCCTCCGCAGAGCTCCACCTGGGTTCGAACCCACTGAACTTGGTCCAACCCTCGCTGTTCTCAATCTGGGCGGCTTCCCAACGATGATGAAGTCGTCCACATAGATCCCCACAAAGCCCTTAGGCTGCGGCTCCTCTTGATCCAGTCTGCTCCATGATCCTCCAGATGTTGGGTTCCGCAGTCTCCCTGAGCTCCAGACATTTGTCCTGCTGCCATCGAATGTCCAGAACTCTTGCGAAGACGATCCCAGCCTCCACCAGAATCTTTGGCGGCTTCAGGCGTCCTCCCTCAGGGCCAGCAAGAAGGCAGTCTTCACGTCCGTCGTGGCCACCTCCCAATCCATTGCCCCAGAATGGCCGTTCCGTTACATTATTCCTGTGAGGGTCCAGACCACAATCCTCGCCCTCTTCTTTTTTACGGTGAGGTGCCTTGGACGCCATCAATCAGAGACTGGCATTCATCAGTCATAGGAGGTACCCATCGTGGTAATTCTCAAAGGCAGGAGGTGGGGAACCAGGTTCATGCGCCTCCAAACCGGCATCATTCTTCACCGCTGCCAGCCTCACCTGCAGGAGCCGATGCTGTTCCTCCACATGATCCTCCTGAACCAGCAATCCCGCCTCCAACGCTGCCAACCAACGACCTCACACTCTATACCTTGCTCTTCACCCACGGCCTGATGGCGAAGCTCCTCGCACCGCAACTTCTTGAGCAGAAGATGCGATCTCACCTGCATATTGCGCCACTCCTCCGCCTGGTCCCAAGAGCAGTTTGTGGCCTTCCAAATCCCACCAGCACAACATTTCCGGTAGTCCTCCACGTACTCGAGGTTACCACCGCAAAAACCACAGAGGATTTGCACTGCCTCCACAGCCCTTCGACTGCAGCTTGCATCGAGCTACACTATCCCACTGCCTTGAACATCTCTTACATGCTCAGCAAAAACCTGATGGGGATGTCGTGGTTGTAGAAGGCCACAGTCTCCGCACCAAACCATTGCCAGCTCCTCGAGACTCTCCCAAGCCCGCTCTCCAGACACGAGCACTAGCCGCAGAAGCATAGGACGATGCGCTTCGCAAAGTTGACCTCAGCCTTTTGAGAATTCGCTGAATCATTGGCCGGCCGGACTGTGCCCAGGAACACGATGAGCACTTCCATCCCCGGCCATTTGCTTAACTGGTGCACTCTAAAAAGGATTCACTTCCGCCTCCGGTGAAGCATAGGTCGGATCCAGTACTCTTGGGCGCACATCGCCAACGAACCCTGCGGGGTCCCGGCCTCTGGCGTGTAGACAGCAGTCCTCACACTCCCCCCGCGCCCATGCCCATTGGGCGCGGCGGTGACATTACCATCCCTTGCCCTCGCCGATCCGCAGGAGGATGCTTGGCAGGAAATCCATGATCGTGTGGTCGAAGAAGCGGATCAAGTAGTCCCGGAGCCCTCTGACCACCACGGAGAGAGCAACTTGTAAAGCTTCGAGGCCAGTCTGCAGCGGTCGCTGGTCCATGCCTGAGCTCTGATCACCTCTTTGAAGCTGACGTTCTTGGCCATCTCCTTGTTCATCAACACGTACTCGTCGAACCCCTGGTTCACCCGTAGTCGGTGCCGAGGAGGCCGTCTGCCATCGATCAGCCACCCCAATCTCGAGTTCTCCTGCTTGGTCCCCAGGTCGGCTAGGTTGTTGATCACGTCAACGATCGTCTTGTTGCTCCCGACCATCACGCGACCTCATCCGTCGGCGCCGCCGCTCCATGGGGACCAACGACCCAAGCCCTGATGGCTTGAGGTGGACTTGGAAAAAAGGTGCCTCACACGGCACATCACCTTGGGCTCATAACCTGTGGCTACGCGGTCTCGTTCGTCGGACCTTTTTATGAGCCTTGAGCCAAAGTTTGCGCGCGTCAACCTTGCGCAGGGTCGCTTGGCTTTACCCTGAAGACAGGTTACACTTCTCGATTTGTGCATTCAAAAGAAAAGGTGTCATGCGTTCTTTCGAACACAGAATGAAGAAAGAAAAGTGCTGGGATGTTGAATTTCAAGGATCAACTATGAACCCGTGACAAAATATTACTGATCTCCATGCCAAATGGAACAAAATGGAAATTAGAATATGCTTCACACCACTTTGTTGTCTCCCTTCTGGTCTGCACATACAGTATACATACGAGCGCTGCTTTGAAGTACAGCAGCACATACGCTAAAGCAGCATGTTGACACACACTCACACACACCCATCCAAGCCGCACCAGCGAGAAGGCTCGGCACCAAGAACCTGGGCGCTCCCACATACAAATTCGCTAAGGTGGGCAAAAGATTGCGGGAAGACCTATGATGCAGGGCAAGCTGATGAGTTTCTTGGGAACAAATTGGATGAATGTTGGGGCGCGAAGACGCAAAAAGAAATTGATAAAGCACGTTGTGGCAGCAGTATGCGTGATTTATATCGCCCATCCTTCGCGTGCCAAACGCATACTGCGCCACTAGCACAAAGGTCACAGCGCACATAAACAATATCAGTTCAGTATACGCACAGCTACTGGTACCATCAGTGAGTGGAAACTGCCTACGGCCCGAGAACCGTAGTAGCGCTTTACGGTATTCGAGAACGTCGTCATAACCATAACCATCAACGACATCATCACCACCACCACCGCCATCATCATGATCATAATCATCAAACATCCTCTGCCGGCTTCACAACATTGTCATCGCGAGTGAGTTTAAAAATTGGGGTGGCGTGACAGACGCTGTGACACGGAAGTGCAAGCAGTGGAGTTCCCTTGAACAGAACACAGTCTCTTAGAGAGGTCCAGAAGGGATGATGCGAGTTTCAAACAAGCGCGAAAGCGATTGAGCTAAACACGCCATCATGCACATAAAGCGTGACACCAGATAGGGGTTTAAATTAGGAAGCGAACAGAAACACAAAACAAACTCAATTTTCCCAACCCCTGTGCATGACTAGGTACTTTTCTCAGAGTACTTAAGTTAAGTCCTTTGTACACACGCGTAAGTGAGACCCTACAAGTGATCTAACTGAAACCGAACGAAAATGCACGCGCGCAACTGGAGGGACGGCGCCGAAGACTCCATTTTGCCAAGCTTTCTTCACATCATGTTAGGGATGTTTGAATGGCCCTTGCCCTTGCTCACAAAACTGGGGGGGGCGTGCAAATTTGACGTTCGCATGGTGGTCGGCGCCCTTTTCCTGGTTCTATCGATCCACGACTGAGCTCTTCCCAGCCCTCACGGGTCACCCCGCCGCAACCACACAACAGCCCTGCAGTCTGCAGAGTCCCCCTGATAATACCCGTCACGTTCGCAAGATGTTTTTAAAACGCTCCAAGGTGCAGCTGCCACGTCCGGCTTTGTCCACAAAGGTCTTACGGAGGGGTTTTTGTTGGCGCCCTGTTGCGCGGCGCCCTTTTGCGCCGACATTGGACAAGGCAGGACACGGCAGATACATCTTCAAGCGTTGTAAACGAATCAGTGTTAGAGGCTCTGACATCGTCTGCGGGGGCTTCTTGAGTCAAGCACGTTGCTCTGAGCGTCTGCGAGGGCCGAGGGCTGGCTTTCGTTCCCTCAACAAAAAGAAAGCTGCTTCTGCATTGACACGTCGTTGTTGCCGTCTCTCGCTGTGTCAGTGGCCTTCTTGCTACAACCCTCAAGGATAATTCTTCTTTTGCCCTGACACGGAACGTGGGCGCTAGCACGCACATACTCAGAGGTGCCCCTGTCAGACACAACGCAACAGGGAACCAACCCAGAAATGTGGCTGAGAGGTATATAGATGTAAGTCAGACCATCTTTCCTTGCACGCATGGCCTGGCTCGACCAACTAAAATAGAAACACTGTGACTGCGACTCAAAAAAATATGGGGCTCAAGGGCTTTTCTTCGACTCTCTGCATCTAGATTTCTGCCAATCACTATCTTCTCTGTCATGCATGGTTTGACTTCATGCATGGCTTGACTCGACAAATTGAAACAAAAATATTGTAGGTCATAACGTGTTTTCATGCCAGAAGACGCCGTCACGCCCAGTTGATGATGCAAGAATGCTAGGATCAACCGTTGCGACATCACTCGCATCACCAAGGCCGTAGCACTAAATGTTGCCAACCCATGTTTTGGCTCTCCCGTAGCAGGATCTGGGCTCATCTTTCCAAACTATGTCTTGTCGAATACCTACAACGCACTTGGATCGCCCGATAGAACTTCAGCCTAGCCTATCGCATGGCTTTCCTAAACAACGGAAGAGCAACCTGAAGGGTCCTTAGGCCATTGAGGCGTTTCTTCTGATGTCTTACTGCGTCTCTTTAGAATTAGAATGAGAGCAAATCTCTTTGTTGAGCACCACAAATTCATATCGCCCATAACACGAATAGCACTTATTGTCACAGTTCCACGCGTTAGCAAAATCTCAGGCTTCCGGGCACCCACTTCACTCCCGGACATGAAGCGTCAGCGAAACCTGAGCAGACCAGCCAGGACAGGCAATCAGGAGAAAATGGCTGATGCCCTTCAAATGCATGTAGGGACAAAGGCTTCCACTCCCCCTGAAGTTTAAATTACTCCACCATAGACCCCAGATAGCAAAAGCATGCAAAAGATATTTTTGGGCTGCACCCTGCGTTGGCAGCAGCTCCAATTCTTACACGCAATACAGCGTGGCGTGTCTCCACTACGCGCACAGCCAGCGCCAGCACCTGGCACCAGCGCCCAATCTGCACCACACACACACAACGAGCACCAGCAACCCGGCAGCTCCCTACCAGCACCCAGCACCGGCACGCCAGCTCACAACACCACACGCGCACAGCCAGCACCCGGCACCCTGTTTCCACCACGCGCACAGCCAGCTGACAGCACCCAGCACCAGCGCCCACCACGCACACCCAGCACCCAGCAACGGCGCCCAGCACTGGCAC